CGTAGCCTACGCCTCCCACGACTCTAGTACAACTGAAAACTAATACGCTTATGATACAAAACTTGTCATAATTGACCACTCACAAATGCATACTTTTTGTAGAATTTTCTCAATCGGCTGGTAGAAGAGTATGGAAGCATTGACCTTGAGTGGTTAAAAGATGTTCCTCCTGACAAAGCCAAGTAAGAGAAATTTAAATGCATCTTCTGCATCCTTGGTTCTTCTCAAATACCTAATACTGATGTTCTGATCACAGGGATTACCTCTTAAGCATAAGAGGATTGGGACTCAAGAGTACTGAGTGTGTCCGCCTATTAACCCTTGAGCATCTAGCTTTCCCGGTAAGAATTTATATTTGTTTAATTGGTTCAAATTCATAATACAGATGTCAATATCTTGTTTCTTTTTCATAAGGTCGATACAAATGTTGGTCGTATAGCTGTACGACTTGGATGGGTGCCACTTCAACCACTACCGGAGTCCCTTCAGTTGCATCTTCTCGAGATGTAAGTCTATTTAACTTCAACGTCTTCAAAGCCTTCTTTATTTATTAAAAGAAGGCACTGGTAGGTAAGCTAAATAAGCTAAAAAGCAATTCTTTAACAAGAAATATCAGAATATCCCAACTAAGTCTTGTAATTTGTTCGATTTTGTGAAGGTATCCAGTGCTGGAGTCTATTCAAAAGTACCTATGGCCTCGTCTATGCAAGCTCGAGCAGAAGACACTGTAAATCTATAGAACCTTCTTGTATCATTGATAGAACCAGTCATATGGAAGTGTCACCAAAGAAATGGGAAAACTCATTTCTGAATTTGCTCTTCTATTCACTTGTCTAGCTACTTTGAGCTTAGGGATGCTTATCCAAACTCTTGCTTTTGAGCAGGTATGAACTCCACTACCAAATGATTACATTTGGAAAGGTAAGACTCAGATAATTTCAGAAGTCTCTGAAATTATTCATCTTTTGTCCAAGTGAAGTTACTCATATGGAATGAATTATACATTGCAACTAAAATAAAACTGATTACTTTGAATGAATGCAGGTCTTCTGTACAAAGAGCAAGCCAAATTGCAATGCATGTCCAATGAGAGGGGAATGCAGACACTTTGCAAGTGCATATGCAAGGTTATAGCACACCTCCTGGCTTAAGTTATCTAGCTCTTGTATGTACATGCTTCAATTGATTGTGCACATGCATTTGAGCATCTATATTTGCCGACATTTGTGCATGAACTCATGATCTGCTTACCGATAGACATGCATACATAACCATGGGCCAACATATGGATACAAATCAAGGACAATTTGCAGCATCTGTACACCTGATCCTGCTCCACTGTAAAGCTTTTTAAGAGCTTTTAAGTTTGGAAACTGCAATTCAGAGAATATGGAAGATGCTAGGGGCATATATAATCCACAAAGTTCATTCCAATGAACCCATTTTCCATGAGACAAGAATCAACACCACAATGTTCGCTTCTGTGATTTAGCAAATTAAATCATGAAAAGGATCGAATAGTAAGTATTCATCAAATATATAGTTCTAGGATACTATTCTGTGTTGACCATCCAGTCTGAGTTTATTACAGGGAAAAGTAGAATCCACCAATATATTTAAAGGAATTCTCTACAAAGAAACCATTTATCTCTTGTACAAGGTCACAACTATTCCCACTCATTAGATGTCAAATTGTATGGTTTAGGGTGAGTCACGAAGTTAGAGATTTTTTTTTTTTGGAACTTTATGTTTATTCAATGACACTCTTACAACCACCCATTTTGAAATGTAACGGACGAGTGATTGTGACCTCCTGTACAAAAGATAAATGGTCTCTTTGTAGACACTTTCATATCTAAAAGTGACATATTTTGTTATCAAGCAAATGTTTTTAGATCATTAACAGTTCAAAAGATTCAAAACCCTAGATAACTTTGCTGTGAAAGATTTCAATAACAAATGTTAAACCAAGCAATAAGTAGACTTCATCTTTCCATGAGGAAGGGCATATCACCAGTTACAGATTCAGGTGACTATGTTTCGTTACCCCATTTGCCCAAATATCATGACCAACTTCAGCAATGCACACTGTCTTAATATTCTGGTATGCTGATCTATTCTTGCATGCAAACATTCACTTGCACAGATGGTATGCTCATGGTTGCACATAGTCTGAGAAGGAACAAAATATGCTTAGATACATCAATTAAAATTGTTTTGCGCATTATAATTGATATTCCATTGTTTTGAATGCAGTGCGAGATTCGCCCTACCAGGTCCACAAGAGAAAGGCATTGTGGATTCTATAAATCCATTCATGTACATGAACAAGCACAGTTCAGAAATCCACCCATTACCATTGCCCCCATTGGAGCCAATGCCTATCCCACAAGAATATTCCAATCCCATTTGTGAACCAATCATTGAAATGCCACCATCACCAGAGCCTAAACGCTTTGAAACCTCAGATATTGACATTGAGGACACTCCATGGGAAGATACAGATGAAATTCCTACGATCAATCTCAATCTTAAGGAACTATCACAAAATATACAGAAATGCTTGGAAGCAAACAATTGGGACCTCGGAAATCCAGATATGTCACAAGCATTGGTAGCTATAACTAAAGAAGCTGCTTCAATTCCAATGCCAAAGCTCAAGAATATTAGCAAACTGCGTACTGAGCATCAAGTGTAACTAAATCCATTTCTTATTTCATGTTATCTCCAACTGGAAAAGGTATCTTTGTCATTATTTTAGTAATTCTGTTTTTCTTAAATTGCAGCTATGAACTTCCAGATGACCACCCACTTCTGAAAGACGTGAGTAAAATTATTCAATCTTTTCATGAGCATTTACATCAGCAAGTTCCAATTGAAGGCTTCCTCCTAACTTATATTGCTATAAAAATGCAGCTGGATAGAAGGGAGCAAAAGGATCCATGTCCATATCTACTTTCCATATGGACTCCAGGTTAGTCTTTTCATACAAGCAGTTTCTTACAAATTTATAATTCAAGGAAAAAGTATGTCCCAACCACTTTATTTTATATTTTCTACATTTTCATTCAATTTTATGTGAAATTTATGCAGAAGGACGGTGTTTATTTTTTTTTTAAGTTGTCCCTCAACCTAATATTAGCAACATTGAAGCAGTTTATATTTTTTTTTTTGTCCCTTTCCCAAACCGTAAGGCTCTCAAGTTCATGGGGAAGGCATATCTGAAGATTGATTGTCCGATGTTCCAAATATCGGACAGCCCTAAATATGGTTCAATTGCCCATACCATGTCGTGGTAAGTGCATAAGGTATCGGTCCAAGGTTTAGAATCTAGGACCGTTTGTTCTCGCACTACAATAGAGAGAACAAGCGGTCCAAGGTTTGACACCTCAGGCCACTTGTTTCCTGGTCCGATGTTTTTAAGCTCGAATAACTTGTTCCATGTTAAATTTAGGGATATCAGGCAGCCTATATCAAGAGCTGGCAGAGGTTTGAAATATTGGACGAGCTGGCAGAGGTTTGAAATATTGGACTGCCACCTACACCCCCAACAAAATAAGAAAATAAATTGTCAATTTCCCAGTTCGATGTTGTGAGTTTCAAATATTGGGGCAAATTGGGAGAAAAAAAAAAAGGCCATGAGGTGTTTTTCAAAAAGGCACCGATCCGATGTTGTAGATCTCGAACTGGCATCCTTGCGCATAATTTTCCATAAAAGTTTATGACTGTATTTTCTGTAATTATCTTCAGTATGGACATAATTTTTCCTATATTCAATGAAAAACATAACTAGAACAAATGTCCCAAATTTATGCTCATGGTTTTAATTGTTTCCATTCTGATATAATGTTCCTACACCCAGGTGAAACAGCAGACTCAATTGAACCACCAGAAGTGTGCTGCAATCAAGCATCAGGCAACTTGTGTGACAAAGAGACTTGCTTCTCTTGTAACGGAATACGTGAAGCTAATTCCCAAATAGTACGAGGAACAGTTCTGGTGAGCAACCATTATGTATTTCCAAATTAAGAATGTTGTTTTTACCATTTTCCTGAAGTGGCATATTATAGGTAGTTCCCTGTAGGGATCAATAGCATAGCAAGGAATTGCTTGACATATATTTTCCCTTGACAGATTCCATGCAGAACTGCAACGAGAGGGAGTTTTCCACTGAATGGTACTTACTTCCAAGTCAATGAGGTAATATCAAATTTTAATGATTTTATAACTACAATTACTCCAGAACATGGTCATTTATTCAAGCATGACGATAACATCCCAGTATTGCAAATCAAACTGCATTAGTAGACTAATGTATGAGTCCCAGTAGACTTTACAATAAGTAATTGGGTCATAGTAGAATACATGAATGCTATATGTTCATGTTTCTCTCTCCCTTTCAGTTTACTGTTATATCTTTTCTTTCTTTCTTTCCATTTAGATTACTGTAAAAATTAATATTTTCTGGTAAGCATAGCCTTGATGCAATACTGGCACATTCTAAAAGAAAAACATCACCAATCGAATTGCAATTCAGGTGTTTGCGGATCATGAAACCAGCTTGAACCCAATTGCTGTTCCTAGAGCTTGGATATGGAATCTGCCAAGAAGAATTGTTTATTTTGGAAGTGCTGTCCCAACGATATTTAGAGGTAAATCATTTCCATTTTGAATTGTCGCTTTAGATAAGGAATCAACAGAATCCTCATAATTTTATCTGCTTTTGATTCATTGATATAGATCGCAGTATTGAGGAAATTCAACAATGCTTTTGGAAAGGTAAGAAAAGCCACCTCGTATAATTTTTTGTACTTTCAGTTGCTGATGAAGCTTCATGATATCTCCATCTGTTCTTTCTCTCACACACATACAAAGACTTACGTGCTTTAATAACCTTTACTGTGGGATGAATTTTATCACCTTCTACCATAAAACTAATAACTCAATATTTGATTATACATAATTTTTTTCTAGTAGGATTATGATCATTACAAAGGGTACTTTTTAAAATATAACATAAAGAGGGTACTACAATCATACATGTACACATGCATGATTGAGATGAAATGACATGATTGAATTAACAAATAATTAAAGCTGGCATGGTTGTGTTTTGCAGGATATGTATGTGTCCGTGCATTTGATCGAAAGTACCGGTGCCCACGTCCCCTAAAACATAGATTACACGCACCACCAAGTCATATAACCAAAATTAAGAATGGGACCACAAAGGATGATGTCAAGCCCAAATCTAAGGAAGTCATGACCCATCCACCAAGCCACCAAGCCAAAAATAAGACTGGATTTAGTATGAATGAACTCAAGCTCAAATTCAAAGAAGCCATGACCACTATTCGAAGGTAGAAGAGTGATTGACCAACAAAAGGCTCTTTATTGGCAGTCCGCTCAGGCAGATGCCTGTGTGCACAAGTTAGAAGGCGGCTACATTGTTGGAACCAATGGATCACCTGGATCTGTAAATGGGTGTATAAATAATTCTCATTATTTATATGCATTTTCGAATTGAGCTCTTTTTCTACTGTTGGTTGATCATATGAAGTCTATAAGCTAAATAAGCGCCAAAGATCCACTTGTAAACTAACAAGAAATTGACCTTTATTGTAATTCAGAATGATTAAACATGTACAGCTCAATGTTGCATCGTTTCGTATCATTGTTCCAAAACTCCAATACCTTGTTGGTTCGAGATTGACGATGAAGACGTGGGTGTAGGACCGAGTGCACTTATTTTAATTTGTGCACTTATTTTCAGATGGAATAAAAAAATTATGATGAAGGTGTAGCTTGTGATTTTCAAATATCAAAACTCACTACATCTTCTGCTAATTAAATGAAGGGAAATAACATTAGATTTGTAGTCTACCATATATTACACGTCTTTTCTTCTTGCACTTCACATATCGAATGTAACGGGGGGCAACAAACCTTGAATCAATTTGATTGTATATGATGAATTCTACACTTCTACCACATTGATTGAAGAAGCATATTTATTAGTTTATATTTGGCAAGATTTAACAATAATTACCCAAGTTTCAATCGTGGTATTGAAATTCGCACACCGTTGAAAATTAAGGAAAGATTGTAGAAATAACAGAGACTGAAAATAATGCCTTCTTGATTTCACCTGTATCGCTCATCTAATCGATACAATTGCCTCCCTGATGTTGAATTGATTAAGATATGACTGCTGAACGCGTTCCGCAATGACATACCTTACAACTTTTTTTTTTTTCAAATCAAACTACTATTATGCATGGACTGATTAGTTCACAAGAGCATTAAGTCGAGCAATCATACAAGGATGTAAAGGACTCCCCAATGCTATACATATATGTTCCAATGTACTAAGTCCTTATCTTATTTTATTTCTGAGGACAAATTATTAAAGAAAAAAAAAATGTGGTAATTCAGTGGGGAAGACAGACCCCTGCCCATTTTTTCAAGTACATTAGGAGTTAACTTTCTTTCAAATTGTTAATGAGGCAGTGTTAGTGGTGGGAATGAAAACCCACAGCATGCGCTACCACCTAGACCTTAGCGCCTTCTCAATTATTAACTAATGACAAGTAGAAAGTGTAGCATGTGATCACCAAATCAGTTGTGCAACAACTCAAACTTGAAAACGTAGGAAGAGTTGTAATGAACACCCCACAATTTTGATGCTTTGCTTGTTCTCACTGCAATTCACAGCGCTATAGAACCAAAGTAATGAGAGGAAAATTTGAAGAAAATTTGAAGGAAGAGAGAGTGATGCTTGTTCTCACTGCAATTCACAGCGCTATACAACCAAAGTAATGAGAGGAAAATTTGAAGGAAGAGAGTGTGATGCAATGGCTCTACAGTACTTGTATCAAGGTGTCACTTGCAGGTTTGCGTGCACATCTTTGGGCTAAGTTTATCTCTGATTTAATGAGAGGAGAACAAGGGAGAGTGAGAGGGAGAGGGAGAGGGACACAAGGGTACCATAGCTCCCTCCACCAGCCCATCCTCCTTTATAAAGCACCTTCTCCTTTATAAAGCACCTTGTTTGTGTGGAAGGTTTTATAATACTTTTCAAAAGGAGAGCCAAGCAAATTTACGGATAATCTTGGTAGGAAGAAAAGGTTTCCTTTTCAAGCCAAAGTTATGGAGAAAAATTACCCACACCCAATAGTCTTTCACTGTTTTGATATAGCTTTGGATATATACATCATTCATCCATTACATAGAGTCCTATCATGACTGCTTGAGCTGTGTACATCCTCAAGACATCCATAATCTAAATCCACAGTCCATCCACTCAATGGCATTAACCACAACACTTTATCATACTCATTATTCGTCGTAACATATTGTATAATCATCAATCACTTTATGAATTTATGCACATGCTTCTAGATCACCAAACAAACTGAGTATCGAAAAACAAACAGTGTTGGATACCCAAAATTCTTCATACCATACATGCCCCCATTACTAAATGGTGAATCTACATGGATGCAAGTAGTTGCCACACAATCCTACAAAGAGATCCACCTTACAGAGCGATACGCAATTGCATAGACAGCCAGACTAGCATACCACTTCCCTTTGATAGAGATAGTGGATAACATGTTCTTAGCCATGCTAGCTCTCAATAGTTTAGTAATATCACATCCCAATTGAGGGATTTCCACCACAGAAATAAACCATAAAGGGTCCTATCATGACTGCTTGAGCTGTTCTCATCCTCTGAGGCTCAAAGCATCGGCCACGTAGGCTAGTGGAGAAATTACTATATCACTAAGATACCCACATCATTGAGATGCTCATGCCACTCAGACTATAGGCTCTAAGATATCATTGCATCACTTAGATGCTAATAGATCACTGTGATCATCATCAGACCACAGAAACCATTTGTGCCACACGTATCTTCAGGAGAAAAGCCTGGAGGGCCATATATGTGTCATCAAGTCATAAAGATTCAAAATGCCATAAAGGCGGGCAGTCACATGATATGCCACACAGGCAAAAGTGCCATGAAGGTGGGTGATATCACTAAGAGTTGGATAGTCGTTATGCCCCAAATGCTGCTTCAAACACAAAGGCTATTCATGAAATCATATAATTAAAAAGCCTTTGAATGACCACTAAAGCTCCAATATGCTACTGAGGCATCCATATGCCACTAAAGCTGATATCATGATGACCTATCAATGCATCTTATTCCCATGGCTGCTACACTCCTCTCAAATGGGGCAACATGAGTACCTATAATTAGTATATGAATAACATTAATTCTGGGGGTGACTTCTAAGTTATAACTTCTTGTTTTCCACATAGTCTCCTTTGGAGTTTCCTAATATGTTTTGACTTGCCATTATATGATGTGTGTTTAGAAATGGCTATTGCCCACTTATTTATCACAATGGATTACTATAGACAAAATTCAAACCGCCCTAGTGCCATTTTACTAAGTGCCTCAAGAATATTGTCTCTCTTGAAGCATTTAATGCAATATATTATGCTTCCTAGTAGAGTGTGAGATGCATTGTTTCATCTTACTTCTCCATAAGAAACGTGACACACCTAAACACTCATCATGATGTAAATATACATTCATCAATTTCTCCTCCCAAATTGGCATCAATACAGCTTTCGACAATTAGATCATTAAGCCACAGCATAAACCACAAGGATGTGTCCCCTTAAAATATCTAAGTGTACTCTTACCAATTTCTAATGCTCCATTTTATGGTTGGTCATTATCAATTAGCAACCCACACAACATATGGCATGCATTTGCCATTATACCGTCAACAGATATAAATCTAGCATGCAAACAATATCCAAATGGGCTCTCCAAACTACAGCAGTATATCCCAACACTAAGATTATTTTCCCCTACTTATATGAATAATATGTTAATAGGAAAGGGGAAAGAAAGGAACTTAATCACCAATATATTAACCACCAAAAGAGCATAAAAATGGGTACAAAGCCACAGAAAAAGCTGTTGGAAATAAGCCAATCTTTGTTCAATTCTCTAAAAAGAAAGCAATTCAAAGGATTTTGGGTTAGAGAAATTGATGAGTAAATCATGTAGGAGATGAGGCTTGGCAAAAGCTTATGAGGGTGATATTGCAAGGCTTTTGGGTGCTCCCATGTGACCAAGGTACCTCTGAAATTTGTAGCGAGAGCGAGGAATTATAGGTAATGAGAGAAAAAGAATTTAGAACACCATAGCACTCTCTCCCAATCCATGCCTATTTAAGGCTTCAATATTCCAACAGGTGAATATTGAGGAATGGTTTTCTTTTTTTTATTTAACACTCAGGCAAAAGAGGTAATAAGCCTAGAGGCATTTTGATTATTAAAAAAATATTTAGGAAAATAAAAGACATGGAGAAAAAAAATTATGCCAACACTTTAACGCTTCTGCAAAAGGGTAAATTCTTTATAATCTATTTTTCTTTTCGGTTATGGTACATTTCCTTTTGATATTTGGTAATTTTTGTCAACTAGGGTTACAAAAATTAACTTCTTAAATATATTAAGAGCTTGATAAGATATAGCACTCTCCTAGTTTTATTTCTAGCCACTTTAACTCCTAAAATATGGCCAAATTGTCCCATATCTGTCCTCTTCAATTTGGGTGACAATCACCTTCTACAATCTTCAATGACTTTTCCATTACTCCCAATTATAATTATATTATCTACATACAAGGCCAAAACTAAGTGAACAATCCTATTGTTTTTGGTATATACACAATATCTGCAGCACAAACACAGTATAATACATGTTAGGATGTGCGAGTTGGTTTAAGTAGAAGGCTCAAAAAGAGCAAGGAGTAGACTCAAAAGGACATGATTGGCAGTAGTGAGAAAAGATATGAGGACTTATGGCCTTACTGAGGGTATGGATATGTGGATTAGGATTCGTGTAGCCAACCCCAACTAGTTAAAAAAATGCTCTGATGATGATGATGACAATGATATTTTTGGGCTATTTCATATCATCTAAAGGCATGATGTAGATCCAGCCCAGGTGAATGCCATAGTGCCGGCCAACACCTAAGAATATTGGAGATGTCCATGGCTTTCATGGTCTTTCGAAGACTTATATAGAAATTCAAGAAGATCATTGCTAGCATTATTGATTGCATCCAGAAAGGAAGCTTCAAATGGATGTAGGAAGCATATCAAAGTTTCCAAGTTATAAAGGAGAAGATGACACATGCTACGACACTCACATTACCATATTAAACAGATGACACAAGCTCGGCGCTCACATTACCATATTAGACAAGGTTTTTTAGGTCAACTATGATGCCTCTCACATTTATTCTCAATCAAGAGGGACACCCTATTGCTTATTTCGGTGAGATATTCTCACTGAAGGTATGGCCCTTGATAGAGCAAAATGGCGAATCATGATTCGTGTAGCCAACCCTAAATAGTTAGAAAAAGGCTATGATGATGATGACACAACATCTGCAGTAATATTTTTAAATCCATGTTCTTTAAGAGCATGTAAACATTAAATACCATTATATTAAATATTGCATTAAATCAAATAGTGATTTAACTAATCTACATACATTAGTTTCTTGATCCTAATGTTAAAAACCTTTAGGTTGGTCATGAGGAGTTTTCTTCCAACTTTGCATTTAGAAAGGCGGCCTTT